ACACACTGTATATTAAATTCAGCTTAAATCAAGGTCGGTTTTTAATGTTCAATTTTGGAACTTGATTATTTTTATAAAATGAATACAAAGTATATTTTCTCTATTAACTTAAGTGGGATTTTTCCTGGATAATTCAGTGAATTTGCCCAATCTTAACCACTATTTACAATGGATAGTTTGTGCCCTAAGCACAAGGAATCTGGAAGATGTTTTACAAGAATTTATAAGGAAGGTTGACAATTCATTCTCAAGGGTACTCAGGATCCCATAATGCATTGAGGGAGGAACCATCAAGCAAAGCACTTAAAAAGCACTTACCAAGGTCAAGCTAAGCTTTAAATTGTTTAGTAAAAGTCACTGATCCCAAAAGGAAGATCTGTGGGAAAGAGATATCATTAAGGCTTCTACTGAGTCGTCAGCAAGTGTCTGCAAAGTTGCTGAGCTGAAATACTGTTCTTCCCAAAGGTAAGAAAAAGCTAAAAAGGTCAGCCCTTACCTCATCCTATGTAACAACTGAGACCTGTCTTAACTACAGATTTAAAATATACATGGAAAGAGACAGGAAACTTTTGCTTCCAGAAAAACTTCCACATCTTAGTAGGGATTTCCAAATTCCTATTTCCAAATTTTCTTGTTTTTGACACCCCGTCAAGAAATTCTCAACCACAACAAGATTGTTCCACTTCAGGAATGTGTACAAAACATTCTCCCAAAACCAAAATACCCTTAGTTTCTTTACACAGATGAATTTTTCACAAAAGATCTCTTGAAATGTGAAAAATCATTACAAATGCACTGGGATGAGATGAGCCACTGAGAGCCTGTCATTGTCCTAAAGCTGGGATTTAAAATGTCATCCAGTGTATTTTTAAACTTTTTTTTTTGTACAAAGCAGCTACTAGTTTTGTTTTGTTTTGTTTTTTTAAAAAAAAAACCAAACAACCATGACATTTTGTACATCTGGTCATTTTCCAGAAAAGGTTTTCTACAGCTTGAATCATTTTTGCAAAAAATCTCCTCACCTCCACAGTCTTCAGTCCAAATCTTCCAAGATTGGAAATTCTGATATTACAACTAGTCACCTACTCAATTGAAGCAAGACCTGCTGCTCCTACACAGGTGGGCAATAACATGGTCCATACATGCTCAGGGAGACAGAGGAGGGTATAAAGTCAGGAGGGTTCTTATCATGAGCAAGAGTTGTGCATTAAATGCACAGAAGGCATAATGCAGGGGTAGGCAACCTTTCCCCTTTAAGGGCCGAGGGACTTCATCTCCCAGAATCCCTGGAGCTATTGGCCAACATGGGACTATTGATGAACATGGCTGAGTCTTCTGGGAGCTGAAGTCCCTCAGCCCTTAAAGCGGAAAGATTGCCTACCCCTGGCATAATGCCTAAGTATATTCAGGAGAGTACAACTGGTTAGTGTGGCATAGTGGTTTGAGTGTTGGACTGGGGCTCCAGGGGACCAGGATTCAAATCCCCACTCAACCATGATAACACACTTGGGCAAATCACATTCTCAGCATCAGAGAAAGGTAATGGCAAACCCCTTATGAACAAATCTTGCCACGAAAACTCCATGACAGGTTCACCTTAACTCATCTTAAGTTGGAAACTATTTGAAGGTACACAATAACCACAAGATCCTGTCTGATCTTAAAAGACAAGTAGGACAAGGAATGGTTAATTCTTGGATGAGGGGCCTGCAAGGAACACCATATGCTGTAGGCTATATGTCAGAGGATGGAACTGACAAACCACCTTTGGGTATTCCTTGATTGGGAAAACCCTATGAAATGCATGGAGTCATCAAAAGTTGATAAATTGAAGGTGTGCCCACATGGGTGCATACATGTGTATGTGTGTGTGTGTGTGTGTGTGTATGCGCGCGCACACATGGAGACAACTACAATGGTTGCTGCCATTTGGGAAACAAGACTCTACTTGTTCCTTATTTAAAGAAAAGCATTCTCTGTTGGGATGCCTGTTTCCTGTACATAAACAGATATTATAGAAACACCTAGGTCTCCAGCATTCTCTCCTCACAAGGGAACTAACTTTGTAAGATAACTAACCTTGTAAAAGGTTTCTTCAGAAACTTTCTTCCCACTTGGGGAGGTAGGGTGAGTAAAACATCCTTGTTCTTACCATGTCATCAACCCTCTATTCTTCTATTAGCTCCTAATATTAGGAGGTGCTATTGAGGAAGATGTGTGTTCAGCTAACAGGAATGCTTTCAGAGATGTTATGTTTTGTCCAACTAGGTCTTGGATTCACATTTTTATAGTCAATTGATACAATCCAGAGAAAGCTCTTATGCCTCAGCCCCAAGGATTCCAGTAGAATACATGCACAACAAAGCTTTTGCTGGATAGTACCCAATAAGAAAATATATATAGGAAGAATGCACTATAATATCACTATTTCTAGTTGTATTCACATAGATTCCCAACTGAGATTATTCATTTTAAAAGTGTGCCTGGATTCTCCCTACTGAGAAATTGTGACACATGATGCTTAGTCTCCACTTTGGAATGATTATCTTATACAGATAAACTTTTTTTCAATCACAGCCTAAGCTCATCATTAGCTTTGCTATTATGTAATCATACTTGCTAGTATGTAATCAATTATCCAGAAATCACTTGCAGGAAAGGAAAGAGCTGGCTACACACATGGGAAGAAAAAAAATGAAAACTGATTTTTTTTTTGTACCAGCTGTTTTCCTCCTTTTAGGAGGATACAAGAACAAGTTTGCTTAACTGAATTCATTCAGACCATCCCTGGCCCAGAGTAAAATTAAACCTTTTGTGTGCCTTCAAGTTGTTTCCAACTTATGATGATCCTATTATGGGGTTTTCTTGGCAAGATTTCTTCAGAGGTGATTTCCTGTTGCCTTCCCCTGAGGCTGAGAGCATGTCACATTCTCTCAGACTAATAGCAAGGCAATGACAAACCTGTCTTGCCAGGAAAGCCCTATGTTAAGGTCACTAGAAGTCAGAGTTGACCCTAGGGCCCATAAAAACAACAAATAAAAAAGCTGGATGCAAGCCACTAGTACAGAAATGTTTGTTGTCTTTCCCTTCTACTGTCCTTCTATGAACTCTCTCACCTATTGTGATCCTAAGATAAACCTATCACGGGGATTTCTAGGCAAGATTTCCTCAGGTGAGGTTTGCCATTGCTTTCCCCTGAAGCTGAGAGCATGTGACTTACCTAAGGTCACCCAGTGGATTTTATGACCCAATCTCCAGGGTCATGGTCCCACAATTAAACCACTATGCAATGCTGTCTCTCTCACAGTGCTGCAAAGGTTGCTTGGCTTTGGCTCTAGCTCTTCCCAGAATCAAACCTGACTCTGCCCAATACTATTTACAACAGCTTTTCCTATAAGGCGAAAATGCTCTCCATTCTAGATGGTCTTTGTTAAGACTCTTTGGGGGGTTGCAA